GGCAGTGTGATGATACGCTTATCCTTCGATCACAGACGATAAATACCTTTAACCGTTCATTCAGCTAAGGCTTCGCCTGCGATATTTATTTAGGCGAGTGGCAGCATCCGCCGCGTGTCGGCCGCGTCCAAGAGTCGGATATGTTTTACTGTCCTCCACTTTCTCCCCAACGGCGACGAGTGGATGTCGCTTTTGTTGCTTATCGCCACAGCATGCGACTAGCATGTTTTTGATATCATTGCTTAAAGCAACTGGCACTAATAAATGTGTTTCTTGCGTCGACCTTTTTCTCCGGCACTTTTTAACCGCGTGTTCCTAGCTTGTTCCCAGATTGTTCCCAGCTTCAACCGTTTCAATAACGCCTCGATAAATATAATTCTGGGTTTTCACAGCCACACTTTGTTACAGTCTCTCGCTGGAAACAAAGATCTTGGTTTCTCTCATACTTTCACTCCTACCACCATTCTGACTACTATTTATACAATTTTGTATATAGGTACATTAAATGTTACATCAGCCGATATTCTCATGCGATTATTTTGCAATCGATAATAATTGAAACATTAATAACACAGTATTTGCGGCGAGACCAAATTATATCGCAGAACTACTAATCATCGAGACGTCGCGTTACGAGTGTTTTCCACTTATTTTTATTTATATTACGCGGCCATTGAGAGAATACAAAGGTAGCAGCGTGGTTATCCGGCTCTTTCATGTCGGAGTCGATGAACCCATTTCTCCAACCAGGAACGTAGCATATTGAGGTAACCGTCAAGGGGGCAGCAGTACGTAATACTAACGAGGAGACCTCATGAGGTGTCCCAATCTTGATGAGCTTTTAATATGTTGTTTTCTAGACAAGGAACACGTATTTTTTTTATACGTACCCATACACATGTTTAAGGGGTAAAACCTCTTCGAAAAGAATCAGGTTTCTCTTTCTGGGCGTATACCTCCGAAACTAAAGAAAATAGAAACATTGTTTAATTAAAAGTTGAATAGCTTTAGGAGTACTATGGTAAAAAACAGTGACAACAAATTTTTAAGTTGTGTAAGTTCAATACCCCGTTACGCAAAAAATTTTTTCCAAATTTTGAAATTTGTTTATTACCAAATAAAAGATTATTTTTTCACGAATTTAATCATGCACGATAAAGATATGTTTGGAAAAATTATTTTCGAGAATTAATTATACACTATTGCAATAGTGCTAGAAAATTTTTGTGTATTGTAACGTACACAAAATTTACATATACAACAATTTTCAATAATTGGAACATTATTGTAACAGCATATTCCTGAGACCAAATCAAGTCGAAAAGTCCTGTACTACTTTTCTCTCTGAGAAACAGTTATCGAGATATCATAAGCTAAACATTGAAAAAGTTATAAATTTTCTCTTGAATAACTCAAAAAGTATTAGGTAATTAAAAAAATGTTTCAGACAAAAGTTGTTCGTATTAGTAGAGTAAGATAGTATAATAAACAATAGGGGGTTTCATTAAAAAAATTTAATGTGACCTTCACGTGACCTTTAAGCAATTATACAAGGTCAAATTAATAAAACCATTTTATATCCCATTCGAAACCCAACAACTTTTGTCTGAGGCATTTCCCGCTATTACCCCGGTTTGAGGAGATATTACCGTGTGCGGATTAAAATAGCCCACCCTGTATATGTGCTATTTGGCCTGTTCATGTGACTAATTTTCCGCACAACACGTTTTGCACCTTCCTGTATAACAGAAGACAGTTTGGAGAAAATTCACGTATAATCACGGAAGTTTTTTTATTCCGCACTGCACATTTAACACTGGAACTATGGGTGT